TCACGTCCTGAACAGCAAGATCCAAAAACAAACAAAAATGTAATTTGGAATATGATTAAACAAACAAGGACATTAACTATATGAGAAGGCCATGGGGTCGAGTAAATTATATTCGTCGGCGCTGACCTCGCCTGCGATATAGCTGGGTAACACATGTTACTACTTGAGAGGGGAAAAAGCCTAGGCAAAACGGCTATCCCAGTCCTTCGACTCTCAGTCAATAAGAGCTGACATTGGGCATGTAACTGATCTTCACATTTGCCGACACTCATCGCTATTCCAATACACGTCCAGGTGATATAAAACCAACTACAATAAATTTGACGGAAAAAAAACGAAATATGACAGGGGAATCGTAGTCAGTCGTCGTGCGCGGCGCATCGTGCGGCGATGCAACTCGTCTCTCATGGGCGCGGCGTCGCTCGCCACGCCCTCCAGCGCTTCATAATACGACCTTGTAACATACCCCAAATAGTAAATAAGTAAATTAGGAAATTCAGTAACTAGCTTCTTTACACAAGTATTCCATTGACTAACTATAAGCATAAAGACTGAAAATTGGGAAACATACTCAGCTGCTCTGAGCCCATCGTTCTGAGCTCATCCTCTATCGTGAACTGAGACGGCAAATCCATCTCCGAGCCTATCAGTGCTCAGCTACCTGAACAGATATACTTGCCAAAATCTTTGTATGCACTCATTATCACTCCAGCTGACGGATGACTTAATGAAAGGTCCACAGCATAAAACAATAAGTGAAAAAGTGACAAACTGGACGACATCAAGAGCAGCTAGAGTCCAGTAAAGCAAGAATTCACAACCAAATCCCTAAACTGCGTTTTTCTGCTCTGCAGTGATGACCGCGCATGGCGAGCCGGTAGAAGCTAGAGGATCTGGCCGAAAGACTTGACCAGCACTTCTCAAAACAGTGATCATGATCAGCACCTTCAGGCTGCTGGCTGCGGCAGATACGGTCAGGTGAAAAGGGTGCAGTTCCAACAAATACGCAACGGTAAGCAGTTGGAGGAGAGGAAAGAGGGAGAGATACTCGGCGGCTCCTCTGTATTCCTTCCCAACTAAAGAAAGCAATAGTCTTGCAGAGAGACTCTGTGATCCGGAAGGCTACTGTTCGGTGCTGGCAGTCGTTGACGCTCTACGTCTAACAGAAAAAAGGATGCTAACATATTTGGGGGGACCACATGGCTCGCGGCGAGCGATGACTGCTCTTCTGCTCCCTCCTCGGCGAAAATAGAAGTAATTTTACGTTTAGGACATGAATATAACACCACCCCAGGGTGCTATATTCAGAAGGTAAAACAGTTAATGCTGAAAAGTGTGAAGAAACATTACTGGCCGGAAGATTCTTGCCTAAACGAGCAAGGGAGGATCACCTTATATTCGCCCAGCCCCAGTGGTAGCTGATCTTTTTGCGGCGTTCGCCAATTCTATCTATATCGACTGTTCTTCACTTTTCCTTCTCCGAAGACGCAAGGTATGAACGCGGTCTTGTGATTCCGATTCTTCTGTCATGCCCATTTCCACGCGATATCAAGTGAAGGATTGATTGGGAGAAACAAGTAATTTTACGCCAACGATCACCGGATCCGCGGTCCCAGCTTTGTCTTAAGACGATCAAACAGACTATAGAATGTAGGGTCAGAACCAATAAGTTCCCGATAGCTGTCCTCGAAACAGATTCTCTAATATTGCTCTCTTTTGCGAGTTGCTCCACTGCACAAGGTGGATAAAAGGATAAAGGATAAGGTCTTATCGTTGATCAGTCCCTTTTGTGGGATGCGGGACGCACTACATCAATACAGACTTGTGGTGGCCTTTTGAATGGTATGTTGCCTACACAATGACTGCGGGGCCAGCAGATGTATAAGTCCGTATCCTTATCCTCTCAGAAGAATCTGGTATCAATTTGCTGCTCTCGGAGGGTAAAGGGCTTAGTTGGCCTGGGCGGGAGTTGAGCTGAAATTCGAACCCAGGGACCGCCGATTGGGTAAGCACGCCGCTTGTCATACACCACCTCCCCACAAGCTGCCCGATCCCTGTCGGCAAAGGCAGAGGTCGTGATTTTTTTTGCACACATAATTTCGCTAGCATTTTTTTCTGTCTTGACACATACATTCACCGGATTCACATCGTACGCCCTCTCACCTGCTCTGCACGTAAAGCAAATACATTTAGGTTCTTTCAGTACCCGTTTGAAAATAGGTGCCCGAAAAGACCACTTTCGAAAATTCATTGTTGGTGATATTGTTCTTATTGTGCTTAATCCTAAACAGTTTTCTGTCGGATAATGGCAATATTCTGACTAGAAGATCAAAATCATACATAGTATGGCCCACTTAGACACGATGGTTGGCAGAAGACGAGATGGTGGAGGAAATTGTAAGTGGAATATTCAACAGAAGCCGGACAAGCTACATGCGCAGAACCACCGCTTTAAATATTGAGATTGTGCAGGTTTCGTGAAAGATGGCAAAAAAAAAAAAAATTGATACCGTTCTCATAAATTGGTCATAATATTTTTTGCGCCTTGAGTATCATTCACCCACCCTCACGAACATCACAGCTTTCTTGCTGGGCGGAAATCTCGAATTAGATTAGGTACTGACCATTCACCAAGGCGAACACTATCCTACTGCTTTTTTTTTTCAATTTCTTTGTTTTCGAGGATGAATACCTTTTCTTTACCATAGTTTTGCTTACCTATTTTTTCATGAGACATGATCTTGAAGTCTCTTTTAGCGAATTGGCCCATATGCCATGTGGCAGGAAACCGCGAAGGGTATATCAGGGTAGTAAAAACGTATTAGTTGATCAATTCGCACTTGCTTTTTCTATAGGCAATCATCGCCAGGAGCAATCGACACTGATTGGACTTTGTCCTGCTGACTGAACTCAATTTTACTTTCGCGTCTGTCGTATGAGGACGAGCGAAAAGACTTACATGCTTGGCACATACAGCAGTTATCTGTTTCTTCATTTGTGAGAATTATTCCAGCACAGATAACGAGATTTCTATGTTAAATGTGGAACCTACGGTTTTGTTAAAGGTTCCTCTCTGCCGACGTAATCAAGCAAATATTACTGCCATGCTGATTGGAAGACATGAATAGTAATAGTTGTTTTGTTGGGGGTGATGGCAATTTGGCTTAGGCCGCGTTCATAGCTTGCGTTCGTGAAGAAATGCAGAAAGCGGGAACATGCAGAAGTGCGGAATCTGCAGAAAAAGCAATAGATACGTATCGACTTGAAGAAATGCAGAAATGCCGAAACTGCAGACGTGCGGAAAGTGCAGAAATGACGAAAAGCATTACATACGTATCGATTTGAAGAAATGCAGAAATGCCGAAAGTGAAGAAGTGCGGAATCTGCAGAAATGCCGAAAGTGAATGCCGACAAGTGCGGAATGTGCAGAAGTGCGGAATCTGCAGAAAAGCAACAGATACTTATCGACTTGAATGCAGAAATGCCGAGAGTGAAAAGTGCGGAATCTGCAGAAATGCCGAAAGTGTGGAAAATAGATACGTATCGGTTGCTTTTCTGCACATTCCGCACCTTTCGGATTTCTCAGATTCACGCACTTCGTGTCACTTCGGCATTTCTGCTTTTTTTTCAAATCGATACGTATGTAATGCTTTTCGTCATTTCTGCACTTTCCGCACCGTCTGCAGTTTCGGCATTTCTGCATTTCTTCAAGTCGATACGTATCTATTGCTTTTCTGCAGATTCCGCACTTCTGCACTTTCCGCACTTCTGCATTTTCCGCATTTCTGCATTTCTTGACGAACGCAAGCTATGAACGCGGCCTTAGCGCCCAGCATACCACAAGAGAGCTTTCTTTGCCGCCAATAATGCACTACTTTCACAAACATTTCCCTGGAATAACTTGTGCTCGAGAACTCATCCTGAACATTCGATTGTGTTTGGCGGGATGTGTTTCAGGCCAATGTGCTTCCAATCGACGTTTCCTGGGCTTACGCGGGCCAGAGTATGGACGTTTCTCATAATCGGTCGGTTGAGTTGGGAGGGAGTGTGCCAAACTAATACATTTCAGAGGGTTGCTGGTTCATTTTTCCTTACCTCTCCCACTTGCTGTGTCAGCAGTGTCTTTAGCTGCGTTCCAACTTGTGTCTGTTTGTTCTCCGATATGAATAGTGTGCAACAGGGAAAGATTGGAGCCTACACCTCTTTTTGCCATGTTTGGGTACCAATTACGACGCACAACCTTTAGGCAGTCGATCCTGCGAAACTACGTGTTCGTTGGTGACGATATCGAAAAGGCCATTGAGGCTGAGCTCTCATTCACTGGCAAGCTGCAATACTTTGAGGTGTCGCAATAACTTCCCGCCTGGATATAATAGTATTTTGATGCTCAGTACTACGGAACAAAAGCAGCGGATCCTGCCCACAGTCGACAGTGAAATTAGGTACGTTTTTTTGTTGCGAGTGTAAACTTTTCAGTCATCTCTATGTTTACATTTTTAGCCTTACCAAACGTTTCATAGAGAAGATGCCGAACAATGAAAGTGTTTGGAATTACTTGGCTGGGTATGCGATCCATATTGAATTTATTCGTTTGGAGTGGACTTTCTTGGAATTTTTTTTCTGTCAGGTTACTGCTGGAAACTGGAGTGTCATCTAGACCTGACGTTGTGGCGTTTGTGGAAGATCTTTATGAGAGAACTGAACCACCTAGCCGAGCACCCTATCTGGTTCGTGACATTCTACCTCCAAGTATTCAACTCTTTCCATCCACAGATTTACTTTTTTCCTAAGGTTTCTTTCTTGTGCGACATTCTTTTGGAAAATATATCGAAAACGACGTCAATGCTGTTGAGAACTGCAAGAGAGCAAAAGAGGTACGACATTTCTGACTCCTGCTGAATTAGATGTTTGTTCCGAAACCGAAAAAAAATTCCTAGGCCGGATGAGGGTGGTGGCATTTTTAGACCGACAAGTGTTGACTTCTTACTAAAATTAGGTCAGCCGTGACATAAAAACGAGCGTGATATATCCTGGGCCGGCTATGTCGCGAAAAACGGAATAAAAATGGTCTTGCTGTTCAATCTCTGTCGGTGATGTGTTCCTTGCTCCTTTCCGCAATAGTAGATTCGCTTGTTATATGCGCTTCATACTCGCTGGCTTGTGGGTCAGTCGATATTCGTGCTTATGTTTTTATCTCTCGCAATACCTATTGGCCGACCCCGGAATCATGGCGCCGACACGGCGGAATCGAGGCGGGATTTGACTCCAGGTCGCGGCCGAGCCAGGTGTGTGTTTCCCAGTGTTAAGTGACTCACTTGTGATGTCACCTCCGCCCTAGATCCATGGCTAAATATTCTTTGAATATGGGCAACGTATCCTTCCATGTACTTGAGTGAGTGACCATGAGAAGGCAATGACTAAAAAAGGACCATACAAAAACTCTAAAGTAGCTCAGAAATGGTGCAGAAAGCGGACCGTAAGTGTGGTAGGACTAGCTACCACGCCGGCTCCATGTTCCGAAGGATGAATAATACTACCCACGAATTTTCACTTCGTTAAAAATATGCAGTGATGTTCTCCTTGAAGTTATCCTTTGGAGGTAATCTTATTTTAACTGGATGCGGCACACAGTGCTTTAAGGAACATCCTGATTAGTCCCTAACCACTTTTTCAATCTGCTGTAATCCGATTCATCAACCCAATAGTGTCCTAGTGGTAGCACAATGGGTTGACAGGTGATCATGAGGTCTTATAGCGTGCGCATTTCCGCATAAATGTTTCGCACGATTGAAAGCTACCGCGAGCACAACGTTAGACAACTGTCAGATTACTCCGGGATTTTTTTCTGTTCTTGACCAGTATCGCTAATTTTTTTCTACGTGGTTTGACGCTGTCGACATATTATGGAGTCATTGGTCTTTACCAGATTACGCTTTATTCTGAATGCATTTCATTTTTATCTCGAATTAGGCACTTTCTCCGAGTAATGACAGTATTTCAGCTATACAACGAGCTCATAGCCTTAGACCCAACTCGAGCGAATTACTGGAAACACCAGATGAGGGTCGCGGACAATTTGTTGGAAAGGCGCTCCTTCAAAACAGTAGCCAAATGATTTTTGGAATTGTCGGCGAAAAAGCCACCTTGATGATTCTCTTTTTATCTTCTTATCAGTCTATCATGTTCTTATGAGTCTATCATGTCCGGTTTTTGTTTTACATTATTTAGATTTGAATGTGAAGATTTTCATATTTTGCTCGTACTTATCGTAAATATGCTACCTATTCGTTCACCTTGTGATACCGACTTCGGAGTGTTACTTGCGTCGATGTTTGTGTGAATGTGCGAGACAAACTGGAGATTGTTTCAGCATGGGTTTGGGCCTTGACCATAAAGTGCTGGTGGTACTTGATCACGGTCCCCGCTTTGCTAGAAAAGCGGGAAATGTAAGTCAGTTTTGCGCACATGTTGAATAAAATCAAAGGACTAAGTTGTGATCATATTTTAAGCCGCTCTCTATCACGCTTAAGGAGTCTAGTGTCAATCGTACGGTACGTTTTGGGAGAGTTTTCCTTCCCAGTACCTTTAGTTCTAGTCACTTATTCCAGGTTGGAAAGTGTGATAAATCTCTCTGGACATGGTGTGTTGAAGCGACCCTCGAACTGCATCGAACTGTTTCGGACCTTTTCTCCCAGGAACGGGATCCCAGTTCTGCTCGTCTTATGCGGCTTGTACTTGCTGATTACGTTGGCAGGGTACTTCAGCCGCGATGGGGTACTCAGCTAGTAACCCAACAAGAGGTCTGTTCGTAGCTTCATCACAGATATTTGTCTGTCTTTGTCAGTATTCTGTAATAGTGTTCAATCGTAGTTCATGATAAAACGGGACTATGTTGAACTTATATCAAGCGCTTAAAGGCAATTCCCGCGACCACACTTCATAGGTAATACAGTTTAAAAATAGAATTGCCCTGTGATTGTTGACTTATTGAAGAAAACGATTCACGAAAAACCGCCGCAATACGACCCTCATTATTGCAATTGATCATGATCACCGGACGAGCGGAAGGTGGTCTAGATCAATTGTGGATGGCAAAAGGCGGCGAGGCACTGATAAAGAGAGAGGCCAGAAAATGACGGGCGAGAGAGCGCAGTGGCAATGTCACAACGACACGGTCACTGGAGGCCGGCATGGGCCTATCGGGCGCCAATGGGCCTAAAACATGAGCGCCGTGCGTTCTGCTTGCTGTTTTTCAACTTTTAAAAGCAGCATATCCTCTACTGTTGCCTGCTTGATCATCATGCACGTTTATGAGGTTCTAGCCTTAGTTTATCGCGGAACGTGCCCTTAAATCTTCCTGGTGCAAGCGTAGTTGAGGAAGCCGGGTATGTGACAAGAGGATCATAATTCGCCGCTGCTGGGTGTCGAGTGTGGCCTCATCTAAAGGATGATGGTTCCAGGTAGCAGATGGCGACAACACATGCAACTAAGGACCGAAAACAGTACTGACTGTCTACGATGACGAGGTCTACATCAACTCCGGTAATCCATTCGACAGCTTAAAAGGAGCTGTGAAAACGCCGGCGCTTCCCGTGCTTGGCGGTGCGGCAAATTGCGATCCTCTTTTATCGTCTCCCGAGGAAGCCAGGTAACGCCCTTTTCTGTTTTGCGAGACAAGGCCACATCGACTTCGGTGGTCTACTAAAGCTGAGCCTTGACTAGAGCAAGAGACACGGGCAACGCGTCGCTGCCCTCGTCCAATTATGTTGAAGGAGGTGTCAGGCGGGAGGGGCTTGCCGCAGCGCCGAGCCTGTTCTCCACCAGTTGTTGAAGCAAGGAACCGACAACGAAAGATATGATATAGTTGTCGCTTACTCGCTTCAACAACTGATGGAAAGACTTGTCCTGGCGCTGTGCGAGGACCATCCCGTTGACGCCTCTTCATCTTGCAACGCAAAACTACTGCTTGTCAATGTTAATCACATGGATAAGTCGAAAACAGCTTCGAACACTAATGATCTAGTAAATAAATGGACTGAAAAAGTGGGTTGTGTACGAGTTAGAAGGGTCTTTATCTCTTTAACTGATTATAGAGATACACTTGTTGTTTTTTGTCTTTATTTTGTTTGTACTCAGCTTTCTTAGTGTTCTAGCTTTTGGCATCTCTGTCAGCTATTGGTTTGCCATCTACCAATGATGATAGTGAAAGCCTGGCGCTGAGTGGAGTTACTCTTGCCATTGAAGCTTTGAGTCAACTGAGTGAAGCTCAAATCAAAGGAGAAAAGAATGAGAGTTCAAATGAAAGTAAGAGTTTGAGTTCATAGTCTTTACGTTCTCCTTTTATAAATGAGTACTCTTTTTGTTGCCTTTTAACTGACTCTGGTTTCGATACTGTCTAGCATGCAGTCTGAGGGTCCTTTCAAGTCTTTTTCGTTATATGAAGGAAGTAATAGTTCAAGTTTGGTACTAGCAGGAGAAAAGGGAAGTAGGACAGGAGCCACAATGGAACATGGTCTTGAAAGTTGATCAAAGTCGAGTTTGTAACTTTTGTTTTCATTGTAAAATGGCACAGTCCTTATTCAGGTCAAATAGTGTACGCGTTTTTCTGCTTTGGATTGAAAACTTCTGATGGGTTCTTTTTTTAACCTTTCTCTTACCATGTTTTTCAGAGAAATGCAGCGTGTCTAAGGAAAGAAGCAGTTTCTCACGCGAACCAAAGTGCTGGGAAGATCCTTCGCCTTCTTCAGTTGCTCCGGAAACAGATCGGAAAGTAGTCGAAAATTGTGGATCGGTCGTGATCTTTACGGCATACGCGGAGTGCGTTCTATTCATTTTCTTTTTTATAACTATTTTATTTTACTGTCTCACCTCGTATTTTTTAGAGATGAGCGCCTAACGGAATTGGAAAACGAAGTGGCTGATATGATAAACGGTCGTAATAGAATAATCAAGTCTCTGCAGGATAGCTCGTTGTTTGTTATACGCAAACTCTTTTGCCGCTTTGTTCAACTGTTCACTCATTTTCAGATTTTCTTGCATAAATCATGTGAAGCTATACATCATTAATATATTTCCTGGTGATCAATCTTCTCAAGTCACATCAAAGTCATTTAGAGAGGTGAATCCTTTGTAATGGGAACGGACATCTTCATTTCTTCTTGTTCTTCCGCCGCCCTAGGGTGCAGGCCCCGTACTGACAACATCTGGTTCCCTTTCATGATCCTCCTGACCTTCTATCACTCTTTCCTGTCGTGTAATAGAGTCTACTATTTCCGATTTTTGAGGCTACCTTCCGCACACGTCGACGCACGCCCCGCCCAGAAGATTCTTATTTCTTTTGTACTGCTCTGGAACCGAACTACATTTTTTGAACTCAATATCTGATGCTTAAGGGCACGCTCCCCCACCTGACGGGTCTTAACATACACGGGACGTAGTTGCTCTCGGAAGTTCGCTGCATGCCCCGTACCACTGGAAACGCACTTATCTTGTCGCCAGCGGGCTGGTCCCACGCGCCGGCGCCAACTTTGAATTCTAAAACGCAGCTCGTGTGCTGGCACAACACTCTGAAACCGTAATCTCTCGCTGCCCGTCTTTATATACGAAAACGAACGAATAACTATGTATCTGATGGATACCATTGGTGCTACAACGTAGTTGGAGCGGGCCAAGCGGCTCAGCGCGCGAGTGATGGACTCACTCTATCTTCTCTTCCTCCCCTCGGCAAAAGACATAATTCTCATGTTGACGCATGATATAACCCGTCCTTAACAGTTACAAATTTCGTTGAAAACGGACAGAGAGAGAGAGAGAGCTATGAACTGGTTGCGTGGATTCTGCAAGCACACAAGAGAGATTCCAGAGGCCGTGAATTCGCGTTACAGTAACCAGGATTGTGATCGGGGCGCGGGTTGGATTAGAGCGTAGCTGCAGAGTAAAAAGGAGAATACTTCTATCATGTCGATTTGTTCAAGTCATCATGTTTCCTATTCACTGTGACCTTCACATAGTTTGAAACAGAACCTTTGACTCTTATTTTGCCTGTGGATACGTGTTATCACTTAAAGAGCTCCTACATTTCCGCGCCCCAATGACAATCTGGTTGCTGTAACACGACTTCACGGCCTGTGGAATCTGTTGTTCGCATTGTTTCGTGAATATTTTGCCTTGTTTGAAACTATGGACGCACACAGTTTTGACATGCCTTTCCTAGAGAGTTTTTGGTTTGTTGCATGAACTCACTTTTCCATCTTCAGCATATGGAAGTTTGCAGGTATGGAGAACAATGGTGAAGTGTGCTCGTCAGCTTTTTACCGGGATAACCCAGATTGGGCTGATGTCAAGCCGATCTACCCTTCTAAGGAAGAGGATGGAGCTGTTCGCATCGCAGTGACTGAGCAGTGTACGTTATTTCTGAACATTAGGAGCTCAACGATGAGCATTCAAGAAGGCATCTCATCTGTTCTTACTTCAGTCCGAGATGCATTTGCATACCTTCGTGCAGTGCTTGCTTCTGGAGAAATGTCGTTAAGAGTGTTCTTGTTAACCGAAGACTGCATTCAGCTCAATCCTGCCAATTACACACTCTGGTTAGACTTGCTAGCAAAAGATTCTGCTGGGAAGCAAAAAACTGAAATATCTTTAAATATCTCAGTTACCATATCCATATGCTTATTCAGGCAGTTTCGCCGCGAATTGCTAAAGAAACTTGGGGTAGATCTAACGAAGGAGTTGAAATATCTCGACGACGTCATAATGCAGACACCAAAGAATTACCAAGTTTGGTGAGTCATTGGTCCTCGAACATCCTTAGGCTGTGTTCATATTTTGCGGCTGGCCGTTTTAGGGGAACCCGGTTTTTAACGAAAATGATGGTATAGATCTCGATCTGGCGTTTCGGGAGAATAAGCGTCGGAGTGAAAAGGAAAGCCCAGGTGTCGATTAGCGTTCACAACGCAGATTCGCTCAGAACGCTGAGTTGCGAGAAATGTGAACATTGCTGGACTTCTTGAACTAGTACCGAGACCGATTTTGGAAACGAAACGCTACGGTCAATTGATTCGCTGGTGGCGTAGACTAATCCTGTTACATGGAAGGCAATTGTGTTCATCAAGCTAAACGATGCGAAACTGGCCCGAAAAAAATAAAGCAAACATAAGTTTTAAAGTCAACCATCATGTCGACTCTACAGCTGTTGCTGAATTGTTGAATATTTCTTTTTTCAATATCAATTGGTATAGATTAAGCCGCGATCATACCTTGCGACGCTGGAGGTCGCGGTAATGGGGATCGGAGAATCCGCGGAAGGCCGCGGCCGTGCACAAAGATTCCGCGGAATTCGCGGAAAAATGCATACGTATCGATCTGATGAATCCGCGGAATCCGTGGAATCTGTGGATCCTCCAAATCGATCCTTATGCATTCTCTTGCCGCAGATTCCGGGCCTTCTGCGAAGACTGCGTATTCCGCCGATCCTTCGTGTATGAACGGGGCCAGAGGATTAGATACGTGCCGACTCAATTAGCCCAGTTGCAGAATGAGAGTTGGAGGTCACCCTATCGCCCAGCCCAGAGTTCTCCGATTCTGTCTTTATCGCTATTCTTCAGTTTTCCTTCTCCGAAGTCGCAAGATATGAGCGCGGTCTTGTGATTCCGATTCTTCTGTCATGCCCATTTCCACGCGATATCAAGTGAAGGACTGATTGAA